GTGCACGAGAGGTGACCCCGAGCGGTGGTCGGTGCTAAACCCGACTCGCAAAACAGACGATTGGAGACTAGTCCATGGTGCATCAGCTCCACGGTGCACCGTCCGTCAGCACTGCACTGCGCTGCACTGCACTGCACTGCACTGCACTGCACTGCACTGCACTGCACTGCACTGCACTGCACTGCACTGCACTGCACTGCACTGCACACCGCACGCACTGCACTGCCTGCACTGCCCTGCCTGCCTGCCTGCCCTGCTGCCTGTCCTGTCCTGTCCTGCCCTGCCCTGCCCTGCCCTGCCTGCCTGCCTGCCTGCCTGCCCTGCCCTGCCTGTCCTGTCCTGTCCTGTCCTGTCCTGTCCTGTCCTGTCCTGTCCTGTCCTGTCCTGTCCTGTCCTGTCCTGTCCTGTCCTGTCCTGTCCTGTCCTGTGTACTGTACTGTGCTGTACTGTACTGTACTGTACTGTACTGTACCGTACTGTGCTGTGCTGTAATGTACTGTACTGTTCTACTCTGTATACTGTTCTGTACTGTATTGTACTGCACTGTATGTAGCGTACTGTACCGTAGTGTACTGTACTGTACTGTAGTGTACTGTACTGTACTGTGGTGTACTGTACTGTAGTGTACTGTATGTACTGTACTCCATTGTCTGTACTGTATAGTACAATACAGCAGCACTGCAACTGTTGTGCTGTCTTGCAGCACAATGACAGGTCGCGCTGCTGACTGGGCGAGGCGCGGAGACCGACCTGTGCCAGCGTCGGCGGCCTACCCCGCGCCGGCCTGCTCGACACTCACGTCACTCTGCTCCAGCTGGGCGGTCAGCGCCGGCGCGTCGCCCTCGGCCACCGGCTCGGCCAGCAGCTCCTCCACCTCGCGCAACCACGTCTCCACGCCCTCGCCCTCTGTCTGGTACTGGTACGAGTCGAAGATGGCTGCGGAGAGGCGCGCCGCCGCCGTCACCACGCGCCAAAGACCATGGAGCGCGACAGAGGTACGCACGCGCACGCCTCTGAGGCCGAGAGACGCGCGCAGGACCAGCGGCTCAGCTGACAGCTGAACACGCGACGTGGCGGCGATCGCCGATACCGATAGGGAGGGACCGTCTCATCTGACGTAACACACAAGGTCGGCATTACTATAAACCCGTCTCAAATAGGTGATAAGTGGCCCAGTAAGTAAGTGGTGACCCGCCCGTAGTACAGCGTAAGCTGGTCGGACCACTGGCCTCTCCCGGACCGTTGGCCGAGAGGTCTACCGGCCGGCTCGGCTACAGCCGGTCCGAGGCTTCGACTGCAGCCGGCCCTAGGCCTCGGCTGCAGCCGGTCCGAGGCCTCGGCTACAGCCGGGTCGAGCGCGGCGGTCCCTCACCCTGCTCCAGTTTGGCCATGCGGTCGGCGAGCAGCGCGGCGGCGGCGCCCCAGCGCTGGTTCAGCTCGTCCAGCTGGTCCATCAGCTGCGCGTCGCCGGCGGCCACCAGCTCCTGGCCGCTGGAGTTGACGAAGTCGCGGCTGGCCTGCTGCGACTCCATCTCGGTCTGTAGCTCCTGCAGCCGGCGGCGGCCGGTCAGCTCCGTTCGCTCCGCCCGCGCTCAGGACCGACCGCCACGGCGCGGCGCCTCAGCCAGCGCGCCCCCGGCACCGGCACGGTCCGCGGCTGGTGTGGCTCGACACGCTTCCCAACGCACCGCACCACCAGGGGGGGGGGGGGGCACACAGCCGGGACCGAGAACGGCCGCGCCCCTGCCATGACCCGCAGAGAGTACAGCACGTGGGCCTGGCGAAGCGGACACCAGCCACAGCCCGACACACTCGGCGGTCAGCCTCGGCCCTGCGCAGCGCACAGCCTGCGCAAGGCCTGTGGCCTCAGAACGCCGCGCACGACTCTGCGCCGGCCCCGTCTCGCTCACCTTGTACTTGTCGAGCTGGGCCTCCATATCGGCGGCGGTGCGCACCACGAACGGCTCGCCGAGCAGCGCGCCGTGCAGCTCGGCCACCCAAGTGCGCAGCGCCTCGACCGCCTCCAGGAAGCGGGCCGGCCGCTCCGGCTGTCGGTTGCTCACCTCCGTCTCCAGCTCGGTGATCCTGCGGACGGCGAGCGGCGTCAGTGGCGGACGACGTCCAAGGGTGCGAGGGGAGTGAGACGGAGAGACCCGGGCGGTCAGGGCCGGCAGACCTGTACCCAGCGATAGCAGCAGCATTGGCCACATCAGCGAAAATCAAATGTCTCCTTTGTCTCATGCAAATGATAGGCAAACAGTTATAAAATACCCGTATTTACTCCACGAACAAGCATCTCCGATTGCCAGAGCGTCGTGGCGAGCCGCGCTTCCACCGCTCCGCCCAGCCCCCACTGACTTGTTCATCACCGTCTCCCACTTCTGCAGGAAGACGTCTACGTCCGCCTCCACCTGCTCCTCGTCGCCCTGGCCCAGGCTGATGAGGTCCTTGGCCTTGTTGGCCATGGCGGTGACGCGCTCCTCATCGCGCTGCATCTGCTCCAGGCGCTCCTGCCGGCCGGCGGCGGCACCCGGCACGAGGAAGGAGGGGGCGGGGACAGAGCGCGCAGGGCCGGCGCCATCACACACGGCGGCCGACGACCGGCCGACGTCGGCTGCGTAATAACGATTACTCAGTCGCTGGCCAGCACATAAGCCAACCTTCATTGAGCTTGAGAGCCTTGGTGGCGCGATCCAAGATGCTCGCCTCAGCTGCCTACCCCGGCGAAACATAATCATGATCACCCACTAGTCGCGGCCCACCGGAACCGGGACGATGATGCACGCCCGGGCCGTCTCCAGCGGCCAGCGGTCAGTACCGATCATGCGGGGAGGGGAGCACACCGAGGCAGCAGGCGAGGCGAGGTGAGGCGGGGCGAGGCGGGCGCAGCCGACACCGTACCTTGCACTCCCGCAGCACGGTCATCCTGTTACCGGGCCGCAGGCGCCGGCCGTCCAGCCAGCTCAGGTACTGGTCCACCAGTCGGCTCAGCTCGCCCAGCTCCTGGTAGAAGGCCGCCTCGTCCAGCAGGTACTCGGCGCGGTCGCGGCGCTCGGTCACCAGCCGGCGCAGGTCCTGGTAGTCGGCCTCCACGCGCTCCACCTTGCGCAGCACGTCGTCGCGCTCGCCGCGCTGCTGGAAGCCGCGGCAGAGGCGCGCCGCCAGCCGGCGCACCTCGTCCACGTCGGCCTGGCGCGCGGCCACCTCGTCCGTCAGCCGACCGAGCGCGGCCAGCTGCTGCTCGGCGTCGCGGTCGGCGGGCTCCATCGAGCCGCGCGCCGCCAGTGACCACTGCGTGAAGTCGTGCAGCGCCGTCATGAAGTCGTTGTGGCGTTGGCTGACTCGACGCGCCTCTTCTTGGCGCCGCCGGGCGCGCCCACGTCGTCGGTGGAGGAGGCGACGCGCGACCGCACCTCCATGCCGCCGCGCTGCATGCCAGCGTCACGGGTCGTCACTGGCCAGCTCGCGGCGGCGCGGCGCGGCGGCCCCGGCCGGGCGCGCGCGCGGCGCGCAAGCAACACCCGAGCACACATCGAGGCAAAAGGTCTGTGCGGAAATTAAACTGAATCAGAGGCTGTGGCGGTACCGGGGCTGACCCCGCCAGGCGAGTTGGCATGCGGTTTAGTTGCCGACCTACACACCATCGGGCGTGTCAACGGGGATATGAGACTACGACAAACAAAGATGGCTGCAAAGTGAGCAGGGTCCACTCAGAATCTCACGGTTCAAAAACTAGGGCATGACGCCAGTGAACGGGTCAATGGTACGTGTAGCGGTTCAGTCCCCCATGCCGTCCCACGGAGCGAGCAAAGCACAGGTTCAGCCGCGCGGCCGCCGTTGCGGTGGGGCCGGCGCCGTCGGTCGGTGTTACGGCGGCATGCCAGCTGCGCAGCCCGCGCGTCACTTACCCTCAGACTCTGCGCCTCGATGATCTGAACCAGGCAGTCCCAGCGGTCCTTGACGTCCTCCATGCGCTGCGTGATGTCGTCCTGCGCCGGCGAGTCGGCCTCCAGGCAGGCCTGCACCTCGTTCGACAGGTCCTGCAGCAGCGCGAACTGCCCGTGCCAGCTCTCCATCTGCGACTGCAGCTCCTCCTGTGGACGAGGCGGCCGGTCAGGCGCCGCCGCCGGCTCGGCTGCGGGCCGCGGCCGTCTCCCCTCAGGGCGACGGCGACACGCCACGCCCCGAGCGGCAGCACACCGGCCGGCGGCGGCAGCACGCCGGTCACCGGCGGTGTGCCACCAGTGGTGTCAAGTGGACACACTGGCGGCAGCACACCGGCCGCGGCTCGAGGCAGACCGCCCTGTCGGCGGCGCCCGGCCGGGCGGTCCGACCTGCCGCCGGTCACGCCCGCCTTCGTCGCGCCGCACCGTCGGCCGTCTCACCTGCACCTGTCGGCACTGCTCCTGCAGCTGCCGCTGCTCGGTGGTCGGGTCGCCTCCATGGCCTTGAGGCGCGCCTCCTGGCTGTCCACCCAGTCCTTGAGCAGGGCCAGCTGCTCGTGCAGCCGCGGCCAGTGCCGCTGCAGCAGCGCCACGTGCTGCGACCGCTCGTCCGTCCAGCTCAGTGTGAAGTTCCACCGCTCAGACAGCACGCTCAGGTGGTCCTCTAGGTTGGCAAACTCTGCCGGCACGGGGGACGACGGTCAGGCTAGGGCGAGTCCGCCCAGGCGCCGCCCGCTGCCACTTCCAGAGAGATCGGGACGCACCGCGGAAGGTCGAAGAGGAACAAGACATGACACTGAGATCAAAAGGACTCGCAGCCCGCCAACTATTGTGGTCCAAGCACGCCGTGATCTACCTGCAGCAGAAAGAGCCAAACACTAGATAGATTAGTCCCAGACACCGAGCATGTCATCGCCGGGGGAGAGCACTGGCCAGCGATGGCTGGCTCAGCTGCTTGGTGAAATTTAGTCTCCTCCTCACGAATGGAGCAATGGACTGGCAAATGGACTATTGTCCCCATCTGGTGTGTTCACACACAATACGAGAACTATGGTTCGGGACAGCCATTCCATTCGTGGTACTAAATCTCGTCTGAACTTTCCGTACAAATGTTATCTTCTCCTCTCCTCTTGAAAGGGGTTCCGACCGTCTCCCGACGACCAGTCCCGCGCCGCGGCCGTCTCTCGTCCGTCCTCACCGATGTCCTCCGCGTCGTCCCTCGACGACGAGCACGTCGAAGAGCTCGGTGACGCGCGGTCGCCAGAGGTCGACCTCTGCCGCCAGCTGGCGTGCTCGTCCGCCTGGGCCGGCAGGGCGGCCAGCGTCGGGCCGCCGAGCGGCGCCTTCAGCGAGATCCGGTTCTCCCATGCCGTCAGCCAGGCGCGCAGGGCACGTCATCGCCGACAGCCTGCACCTGCGCCAGCCGCGACTGCAGCCTGCGCGCAGGCACAACGGCGGTCACGGGCGGGCGGCAGAGGAGCGATCACGGGCGGGGCAGGAGGACGAGGCCACCGGCGGAGCAGAGAAGAGGTCACAGACGCGGCAGAGGAGCGGTCTTGGGCGAGGCATGGGAGCGGTCACAGGCGGGGCAGAGGAGAGGTCTTGGGCGAGGCATGGGAGCGGTCACGGGCGGGGCAGAGAAGATGTCACGAGCAAGAAGCGTTCACGCACGGGACACACAAGCAGTCCATTCGCAGGACCAGGGACGGTGGCAATAAAGTGGTCCCATACGGTGTTTCCCCAGATAAGATACGATTGCCAGATCAAATGGAGCCAAACAGAAGCGAAAAACGAAGCACCAAAACCGCCACGGAACACAGCAGCTCCGGTGACATTCACAAACCCCCATCGCAATCTCCAGAGCGTTTAAGTGCCACGATCAGACGCATTGGCAGCGACGGTCGAGGTCAGACGCGCGTGCGCCCGGCACTGACTCGGTCTGCCTTGTCGACGGCGCGCTGGCGCAGCTCCTCCCAGCGCAGGGTCAGCAGCCGCATCTGCTCGCGGATCTCGGCACTCCTCCTCGGGTGTCACCTTCTCGCCCAGCAGCCGCTTGCCCTCGTCCAGGCACCTCGAAGATGTCCGCCTTCCGCTCGGTCAGCTCCTCCATGTAGGCCTGCGGCGGGCGGGCGGCTGGCATGGTCAGCGACCGGGTCGACAGGGCCCGGCCCACGGCACGGGGTCAGGTCAGCCGGTACGACGGCGCGGTTCCCGGTCCGAGCGGGGCAAGGATCAGCCCGGCCAGCGGTTGCCATAACCTGGACTGGTCACACCCGGGGACGGTGGCTTCGCGCCCACAGTCTCCATCAGAAGACAGCTTACACGTCCACAGTCAGAAATCGCATCACCATCACAGCGACCTGTTGGTCAGCTCACGCGTGACCGCCCGAGGGGCCGCACGTGAGGGTGACGCACCTCATGAGCCCGGAAGCGCTGCTTGACGGCAGCCAGTTCGTCGGGTGCGTCGCCGGCCTCCTCCAGCCGCGCGGCCGGCGTCCTGCAGCCAGCCCAGCACCTCCTCCAGGATGGTCGAGTACGTGTTGATGTCGACGCCCGAGCCGGACGACAGGAAAGAGGGACGGCCGCGTGGGCCGAGCCGCGTCCGGCGCCTGCCGATACGCGCGCCGCCGGTCACGCCGTGTCCCCGGGTTGCCCACGTGTCGGTGTCGGTTGAAAACAGTCCCCCCTTAGCCCGCTCCCTCCGGCCTCACGAGCTTGACCTGACTCCGACAGCGGAGGATGCTGGAAACAGCAGCGCACTCGGCGGCACCATTGTCACGTAGGGTACCGAAGCAAGCAATCCGCCGCCTCGCCGGAGGCCGGCTCACCAAGCTGCTAAGTTACGACAACGATCATTAAACCACATCGTCGGTATGCACTCGCTCTGAGACGAGGCCGCGGCTGCCTGCCTAAATCAGCGCCGTACCGCAGCGCCGACCCAAACCCAACGGCGCAGGAGCACGGCTGGCGGCGGCGGCGCGCGGCACCCGTTCGACGCCGGGCCGCCGGCAGACGGCGGGGCCCGTCCGGGACCAGACACCTGCGGTCCGCCCACCTGTTTGCGTTTGACGGTGGCCGGCGTGGCGCTGGGGTCCGCAAACATCATGTCCACCGTGTCGTGCGGCAGCGCTTGGAATAGGCACATGACGTACGTCATGATGGACTTCTTGTCCGGGTGCGTCGTGTTCACGTCTGAAAGGCGGCCGAGCGCGGCCATCAGCCCAGCGGCAGCTGAACGAGATGGATTCACAGGCAGCAAGGCGAACGCAGTGCCGCCCAGCAACCGCTCCGTCCTTGCATCAGCAGACAACACGCCCCGATCTCGCATGTCCAGGAAGCCGCATCACCAGCCACAACAGATCGGATTCGTCCTTGTGACGCATCGGACGAGCACGCAGCCCGCCGGGGCCACTCGACGCCCGGTCGTCGAGGCCGGCCGCCACGTGTGTTCGGCCATCGACGCCGCCTATTCCTGCACAGCTGCGGTGCACAGCGCTAAACACTGAGTCGAATCCGCCGCTCCGAAAGCTCGATAGCATTACGTGACCAGTAAGGTCGAAAGGATACAAGATAGCAGAGTGCGTAACAATGGATGAGGAGGGCAGCATCCAGATCGTAGCGCATTTACCGCCGCAAACAGAGCGTTGTCGTACAGCATTCCACGCCCGAAGGCAGCGAGGAACGCCCCCCCCCCCCCCCCCCCCCCCCTCTCCGCGCGTCCGCTCGCCCCGCCACTGACCTTCCGGGTCGAGTAGACGGTCGATGCTCAGGTACTTGTGCGCCAGCTTGAACGCGTACTCGAGCCGCTGCGGCGGCGGCTTGTGCAGCTGCTTCTCGAAGTCGAACAGCTCCGGCTCGAACTTGTGGATCAGCGCGATGAACGCCAGCCCGTTCCGTCCAGCTGGTGGTGAAGTTGCGGATGTCGACGCCCTCGTAGCCCTGCCGGCGACGCGCCAGACGTGCGGGGGGAGCGCGCTCGAGCCGACCGGGTGGTCACAGCCGGCGGAGACCCGACCAGGCAACGGCGCGTCGCACGCCACCCAGGCCGACGCCGACACAGTGGGGCGCCCCAGCGCAAAACGGCCGAACATCCTGTCCGTTATATTTTCCACGGCGCGTGAATTACACCAGAAAAAAATTAAGAAGTGATCAGAATTCCTTACAAGCTGAATCTTGCATGCTACATATTTTAACCAGCATTCATAACATGTCAAATGACGCACGCACGCTCGAACAAA